CCGCTTGTTCTCCACCCTTTCATGAGTATTGATAGCCGCATCCACCAGATGGACAATTTCAGTCCTAGTTGATGATTATAATTTATAGAGCAATATTCTGAAGTCTCAGTGTTTTGTCTGTTCCTTCAGTCCTGGACAAGCGATGAGACCGAAACTGATGCTAGCCTAATTCTGTCCAATGTGACACCAAACGATGAAGGAGAATTTATTTGTAGAGCCATCAATTTCATAGGCTTGGCCGAAGCGTCTTTTTGGCTCAGCGTTTATTACCCAACAGCAGGTAAACCTTAGACTCTGAACAAAGCCAACCAGCTGAACACTGATGTCCTGCAAAAACTCTTGGGTCTTTGGTATCTGTTGCTGGATGATTTGACATGTCTGCTGCCATTGGTGTTTCTGGCTCTTCAAAATCAAAGTGCTTTTGAAGAGATTGCAATGAAAAAATACCCACAACAAGCTGACTCTTGGCCTGTACAGATATTTGATACATATATACCATGTACTTAATGAGGTGTCCACACATAGACCTGCAGTGTGGCGAAAGAGGAGAGGTGGCTGACCAGGTCATTTGGAATGCACTGGATAGCATGGTTAAACTCTGATGCCTATAGAACTGCATAGTCATATACAAAGACAGAGGTTAGCCTTGAAATGGAGGTTGTTGGCACAATGTCTGACTAAATATCCATTTCCAGGACTTTAATCGGGCTTTACCAAAACTTGAATTGGCAGATGTCTACATTTTCTCAAACTTTCTTATAAGACTTTAAGAGGGTCTAAAGGTCATACAACATAGTAAATCTGAAATTGCCCCATATAACCATTAGAAATGGTCTGGTCCAGCCTTACCAGCTTTTGAGTATGCTGTGTTGTGGGTCTGTTTTTCAAATGTTGTTTGTTTGCTTGCATGCTACATTAGTTGTGAGACAGCTTAGACAGCCTGGTGAAGGGTTCTGGCATCTTTTTCTCTTGCAGGTGATAAACTTAATCTGCTTGGTGTTCATTTTTCCTTTCAGGATTATAGCTGCTACTTTTCTTAATTATTATTACCATCTCCACTTCTGTTTCTTCTCCATGTTATATTTTCCTCTCTTCCATTCTTTTTTAGCCTACGGGCACATACTCCTCGGATAAGGATTTAGAGGTTCTGGTTTTGCGCAATGTGTCTTTTGAGGATGCTGGGGAGTATACCTGCCTGGCTGGGAATTCTATTGGCTATTCACATCACACTGCTTGGCTGACCGTTCTATCAGGTATTCCTTCTCGCTTCTTTATGGTGATGCTTTCCGTGTACCTAAGAAATGCCAAACAAGAGTCTAGGCCTATTTATAAAGCTAGATTTTTGGTTGTCTACACAGGTAGATCCTCATGGCAGACTCAGTAAATGAAAGTGTATTGATGGGGTCCACTCTCCAGAATTTTAGTTATGCCCACTGTGTGCTGCAGCCTGGCTACTTCCCATAAACTATGGACTCTTTTCTTGTGCAATAACAATAGTCACTATTCAATGAATAATTGAAAGTATCTTAAAGCCCAATTAGACATTCAGTATAAACTCCTAGATACATCAAACAAAAGGTGTTTAAAGCCTTGCAGTTCATTTGGTTTAGGAAGAATCCATGGCCTTAGTCAAAGAAATCTATCTCCTGCCATCATGCTGTAGAAAAGGACCCTTGCTCTCTGTAGAAGCTGTGATCACTATGCCGGGGTCCAACACCCCTTATACTGAGTGGGATCTACAGCTCTGCAATCAGAATAGCTCATGCTTCCAGCTTTAGTCCTAACTTAGCAGGGGGTGTATCAGACGTCTGTAGAGGGGCTTCTGCTTACACACAAGACAGCATGCTGGCAGGAAAAAGGCTTTTTTACCCAGTACGTGTCTGCTTTCTACATAAAAGGAACTGTAAGACTTTGTACACCTTTTTTTTTTTTATACACCTCTAATGTATTTAGCTGATTTAAACAATAGACAGTAGTCTTTAATAACTGCATTTATTAGGTTCTCATAGCTTCAATGGCAGCTTATATAACTCTGGGGCTCCAGTGGAGCTTTTCCTGCCTGTTACTTTACCACAGGCTATCCTCACCCATTGAGCTAGAAGGTGTTTAGATTCCCTTAGGGCTTCTTCACACCATGTCCGTTGTGTGGTGGTGCGCTGAAAAAACGCAGTGCAACAGACCTGGTGTGAACAAACCCTTAATGAATGCTCTGGAGTTCAGATATCATGTTACAGTTTTAAATATTGGCCTTCAGAGGAATTCCAGGGTTAAAGTTTCTCTTGGGGCCCCAAAGGATAGCCTTTAAATTGTATATACGTAGCCTTTATATGCTATAACACTCTAGTGACAGTATTGAACTGTTTTGGTGACCCTTTCACAATATGGTTAGTTAAGGGACACAGTTTGTGCTTGGCATTTCTGTACATATGTTCTCCTTAATTATTTGAATTATAACGTCATGTAAGTATTTTTCATAAATGATGTTGGTGGTGGTCATGCTCCCTTTCTGAATCTAGGTGTTGGTTATCAGTATGCTGTGCTTCTGTGCTTTACTTCGCTTCCTTTTTGCTTTTTATGTGCATTTTGTCACATTAATTTTCATATGTCTCAAAATATTTATATACAGTAAACTGTACGTGTATCTTCCATGTATACATGTGTCAAAGTAAAATGTTTTCCAAAAAGCATGGAGCCATTGTAATATGGAGTTATTTCCCATGTAAAGGTTCTGGCCATACAATAATCCCATCATCTCTTTTAAATTAGCTGCACACTTTACCTCATCAGTGTAAATTAATCTTGTAGTATGATGGTTTATTAACAGGAGGCCTTCAGTGCTTCTGCTGTGAACTGTGAGGATGAATTGTTCTACAGAAGTCAATGAAAACTTGTTTTAAAGTTCATTTACTTCTTGTTAAAGTATATCTAAACTAAAGAACGATATTTTAATCTATCATAGCTTAACAGTCTTTCAGATATGTGAATACTCGAGTACTCTTAGCCATCCCACAGGTTAAGTGGTGTTCTTTATCTACCATTAGTAACCAATACTGAATACATAGTGCCTATGCTACATCAACTTCTAAATCACTGTTGCTTTTCTGAGCTCCTATAATCATTGATTCTTCCAACAGAACCAGTTGTGAAGGTGGTGGCCACATCATCCAACTCAGCCAGTGTTTTGATCATGGTGACTGTAGCCATTGTCTTTATCTTACTGATCATCGTTATTATCACCTACCGAATAAAAATCCCTTCCAAGAAGGCCATGAACACACCAACTGTGCAAAAAGTCTCCAAGTTTCCACTGAAGCGACAGGTAACAGAAAGTAGATACAAGATTTCTATCACTTTTTTCCTCCTTTCCTCTCTACCTCTTGGCTTCTCTATGTAAATGCTTTGCCATTATATGTATGTCTCCACAGGCCAATAGTTTTCAAAAACAAATGTGATCCAGAGAGCTTTGCGACTCAAAACACTGAAAAAAATATCAAAATTCTGGTCTTCAGAAAATAATTTGTCCTTTTTTTTTTTTCTCTTCAAGAGCCAGACAGCTTCACTCATCTTTCTTAAAACTGCATGATTGTTTCTTTGTTTACAGTACTTCAGTCTCTTCCCTTTCACAGTACATGCTTGTGGTATTTCTAATTGAATGTGTCTTAGTTTTCTCTGTTTTCTCTCTTAAAGATGCATGACGTGGCCCTCTGAACTTAATGCGTGTCTAACTCAATCAGGTTTCCTTTACCCACACAACAAGATGATAGAGCAGTGTAATGTTTCATAAACTCAGATGCCATTATGGGAGAGGATAGGAGAACATATGTTGCAATGCGTTTGTTGTCTTCCCGGTAACCTTGGAGGTGCACAATTCCCCGAGCATGCTGCAGTGTTCATTAGAATGATAGTAATGACATTTAAATGTATTCCCAGCCAGGGAAGAAATGCTGATGAGCTTATGCAATTTGCATTTAGATGGCAGTGAGATGCTTGGAAAGTACGGCAACCTTAAACCCCTTCCTGGCCAATAAAGACCTTCACAAACTCTCTTCCATTTTTCTTCACTTCTAAACCTTTATATGGATATATATTCTTATTAGCACAGCAGTCAACAATAATACCCCTTTATTTGCTTTACTTAAGCAGGTGTCACTGGAGTCCAACTCTTCAATGAATTCTAACACCCCGCTGGTGAGAATAACTCATCTGTCCTCCACCGATGGGACCATGTTGGCCAATGTTTCTGAGCTTGGGCTGCCCGCTGATCCCAAGTGGGAGTTGCAGAGGAGTCGGTAAGCTTGTTTCGGCAGTTGGAATAAAATAGTTGGAAATGTGACCAGACGTTCAGGATCTCTTCAGATGAGATTAGGTAGACACTGTAACAGAACAGCAAGCTAGATACATTCATCAACTGAGAGCCAAATAAGATGACAACAGAGAATAAATTGCATCAGTTTGTGTAAAAGTACTGCAATCACATTGCTCCCTCTGTTGATAAACTAAATTTACATTGTAACACTTGCACATTAATGGCATCACCAGATAAGATCAAGGAAGCCGGTGACTGACTTTAATATCAAGGCTAGGATTGGCCAGTCTAGCCATAAAACAAAATGTTAAACTTGTTAAACCTAAAGCTGCAATTTTGGCTAAGAAATTGTCTAAATACAATGTAGTGTGCGGCCCTGCTGGGTCCCATCCAGAGGAGGTAGGGCATGCTAAATGAAATATGTACTTATATTATGTTATCAATGATTTAGTTGTTTTTATCCTTCTTGTAGGTTGACACTGGGAAAACCATTGGGCGAAGGATGCTTTGGCCAAGTAGTGATGGCAGAAGCTATCGGTATTGATAAGGATAAGCCAAATAAAGCATGTACTGTAGCAGTGAAGATGTTAAAAGGTAAATCCAGTGCAGTCTCCTTAAATTCATCGTGTTTCCACTATAGTGGCTTTAAAGCTGTACTTACAAACATTGATGTATCATTCTTCTTTCACTGCAGTCATGAACTGTGAGATACTATTGAGAATATTAGTTTACACCATGTGAATGGTGGATAAGTTGAGCAGTGATGTTTTAAAATAAAAAAAGATTATTATGAAGGGTAATTCTAACCGTTTTGCAGATGATGCCACAGATAAGGACCTCTCAGACCTGGTGTCTGAAATGGAAATGATGAAGATGATCGGGAAGCATAAAAATATAATAAACCTGCTTGGAGCGTGTACACAAGATGGTACGTATGTGTTATAAGGAGAATGTTCTATCTATCAAGCAGGTTTTGCCTTTTTTTTTTTCTCCCCTTTTTTGTGTCGTACCAATACAAATACAAGAAATAAACATGAGAATGCCGAAACATTTGTAATTGCAACAATTTTCTGCACAAAGTAGTGCATTATCTGACAGAAATTCAGGGGTGCCAATCTGTTTGGCCATGACTGAATAGATATGAATAGATAGAATGTTGGGTGATTTGTCAATACTGATGTGTAACCCATTATCTGTTCCTTTTTGTGTAGGGCCTCTCTATGTCTTGGTTGAATACGCATCCAAGGGGAACCTCAGGGAATTCTTAAGGACTCGACGTCCCCCTGGGATGGACTATTCATTTGACACATGTAAAATCCCCACCGAACAGCTGACGTATAAGGACTTGGTGTCTTGCGCGTACCAGGTTGCCCGCGGAATGGAATATCTGGCATCTCAAAAAGTAGGTTTAATTTTTTACTTTCGATTTTACAGATTAGCGGGCTTATGTAGTTGTCTGACCATCTTTAAAAATATATATTTATTTGTAAACCTGTTCAAATCAAGCTGAACATATCCCGAAAAAATAAAGACTGCTTGTCAAAACCATCAGCAGATCAAGCGCTATAGGCTGCGAAAGTTTTTTTGCAATTTCCAAAATTTTCTGTAAAAATAAGAGTTTGAACGCCACCCTCTTCCGCTTCCCAGGCACAGTATCCTGCTATGGAAACTAGCTTTGTCTACAGAAAATGATGGCACATTGAACAATAAATATGAATCTGCTGACAAATAAGAGATTTTGTTCAAAGCAAATCTGACAGGTCTTGTGCGTCTTGTGAAGAGTTCTTCACTTAGAGTTACAAAAAGCATCTAACCAACTGATAGACGGGTACCCATAATTCCCCAGGCCCATTTTTAAGCAAGGATAAAAATGCACAGAGGTTCTCCGGTGTTTCACGTGCTTAGAAGAGCTCATCCCCTGATGAGCCTGTGATAAACAGGCCACCACAATAGTCCTCTATTGGCAACAGGGCAGCCCTCTCCAGGAATCATCACTGCACAAGACTTTGTAATGGGGAGAGGGGGGTATAGAGAAGTGCGAGCTGTTATTCCATTGTCCTCATTTTGTGTACCCAGCAGGAAGAGAATAAAAGACACAAGCATCCCTTTAGCTGATGTGCAGTCTGTTTATATGAGGAGTAGAACTCTGCGGAGGCAGCAGATGCGGTTGACAATTGTGCAAGTTGCCAAATTGGATGATTTGTTTCCCTTAATATGATAGCAAGTTTGCAAGTATGATAGCAAAAAATATATGCAGTCATTATACACAATAGCTTCACTCTAAGCTAATCAGATTAGTTTCTTCTGCTAACATACCTGCAGGCCATTTTCTCAATCAAATAGAGGGTCCCACCGCACTCCTGACTGAGAAGCCCCATATATTGGGGGGGAGGGGGTGCTGAAGTTAACGCGGATGGCGCCACCAAATACTTGCAAAACAGAATAAATGGTCACTAGCACTCCAAATTTTCTTCAAAACGAAATCCTTTTATTCATTCTACCAGGTCACATCACAATGCATGGCAACGTTTTGGAACCTGTCTGGTCCCTTTTATCAGGCAAACAAAAGTGATAAAAGTACAGAAAAAGTGTTGACAATATATACACCAGTGCACCAACCTATCGCCCATCATTTTCACAATGACACAAGCCTGCTGGAAAAACTGCAAATGCTTTTAATGGCTCCATCCTCTCCTTTTACTAGTATGGATCAGTCATCCCAGCCTTTTTCCAAGGGCCACACATGCGAAATGCAAGCCAAACCGACTGAAAGAGTGTGGCCTGCTCATGTGCAGCCCATGGGAAAAAGACGGTGGGTGCTAAGAGCGTGGCCTGCTCATGTGCATCCCTTGGGAAAAAGATGGTGGACGCTAAAACTCAGACACCTTGTGAAGTCTGCAAGTTCCTGTCTTAGACTTTAGATTGATACCTGTGTTCCTTTGGAATTCCCTTGAGTCTAAACCCAGGCTGTACATTGGGTCCAGACAATGGCCCTAGGTAAATGACAGAGGGCTTAGTATAGTGTCAGGAAGGATAAGTCTTAAGCTGGCCATACACTGTCATATGTTTTTCGTCAACCTGTAGGTTGGCAGTCTCACTCACTGAAGGAAATTCATACAGTGTATGGCCAGTTTTTGTCTCCATGATACAGCCAAGGCCTAGGAGCCGAATGACTGACTCCACAAGGATCGATTTAACGTATTAGAATTGCACTTGCAAAGCAGTATCTACTAGAAGTGCACAATCAGTCTAAAGCCACTGCTTCTGGTGTAGATAAGACTTTACAGCAGCACGCAGTGGTATTGTCCGTGATTGCATTGTAAATTAAAGTTAAGTAGAACAACATTGGAGGCTCTATTAGTACTGTAAACACAGAAGTATATGAGCTACCATCCCTGACTTTTTAAAAGTACAAGCTCCTGGCATTCATCTTGATTCTGGTTTCACCGCTCGGCAAGTAACTGCAAGCATTCAGAATGGGAGTTTACACGCATCTGACTTCACTTGCTGCAGGTTTAGTGACACACCAGAGTCAGGTGACAACCCAGCAGCCTTCCCCTTTAAATACAAGTCAGCATTTCTATCCTCACAAGTTCACTCTGAAGTTCTTTGTACTTGACAAGTACTTAAAGGAATCGTTTGCACTGACCCCACGTGGGCTTATCTAGTTCATTCTTTGTGTACTCTTTCTGATTCCCACACTTTACAAATTTCCTGCTGTTCATTGCTCAGTCCCAACTTACGCTGATTCGGCTAAGCTTTATGCCAGCACCCCAAAGGAAGTATACACTGGATGTTGGGACCCGTGAATAAAGAGTGCACAGCTTTGAACAATGGGTGGGGAGAACAGGGGCACATAGCAATTTATAAACCACATTACTGGAACTGGGTTTTAATTTCAGTATGCAATATTTGATCAAGTTCCAAGCCAACGCAAAACATCCTATAACAGGTATGTGGAGAACCTTCTTCGAGCGCTTTTGATTCTCGAAATTTGCCAAGAAGGTGGAGTGTGGGCATTGCTTCTTGTCATTAGGAATGTTGCTGTCACTTGGCATTAAGAATCCAACTATTTTGTTTAGCTGAATGACCCTGGAGGTAATTAATTCAGCAAAACCATGGCATCAGGCAGATATAGGCATTTCTATGTTAAAAAATAGGGAATGAGTCTAATATTACTTTGCTATATAATTTATTTGCATTTATTTTATTTATTTCCCTCCCTTTTAGATTGTAAGCCCTCACGGGCAGGGCCCTCCTACCATCTTGTCTTGAATTGTAATGTAATTGTAATGTCTTCCTTATATTGTAAAGCGCTGTGCAAATAGTTGGTGCTATATAAATCCTGTATAATGATAATAATTTGCTAGAAGATTTTGTATATTCATTCCCTAATATAGATTGTTTTTTTCTTCCTTTTGCAGTGTATTCACAGAGACCTGGCAGCCCGGAATGTACTAGTTACTGATGACAGTGTGATGAAAATTGCTGACTTTGGGCTTGCTAGAGACATTCACAACATAGACTACTATAAGAAGACCACAAACGTAAGTGGATTTGTATAGTGCAAATAATATGTGTGAAAAAGACTCTTTAGATATAATGGATCATTTTAATGCTAAAAAGCATTATACTTTGAAGTTGCAATTTTTTGAGTTTCGCCTATAAAGATCACGTTTCAGCTTACATTTAATGCATAGCAGAGCTGCTGCTAGTCCACACATGATCTGCATCCTCTGTGCAAAATTGTATAGTGGATGGAGATTATTCTGTCTGATTATCCTCAGACTACTTGGACTTCTCATACTCTTGGTTTTATACTTCTCTTACTGCCTCTGGTATCCCATAAGATTTCAGACACACAGTTGTATCATACAACCAGGACTGCGGCGTAGGAAGACTTCCAATATGACATGAACAGCATACTGGAGTCCACTTGAGGCACGTTCTCCAGCATGCATTGTTTGCAGAGGAAGTACATTTGTATGGATATCTGATTCAGACCACACCAGTAGATGGTCAAGTGGTGGTAAAATGCACCTGTAGGCGAACTCCTACAGCATCTCAAACCAGGGTTGGGCTAAGGGGTAGGCAGAAAAGGTGGCCACCTCGGGTGTCTAAGCAGGAGAGGAGTTCCAGAAGGACAGGACTTGCAACCTCTGCTTCTGAAGTAGTTCACATCCCATGGGAGTGGAGGGAAGGGGGTGCACTATGGCCTTTTAACCTTTTGTGCTCAAGAAACTTGTCCCTTCACTGTTTTGAACTGATCTCATATGCATGGGAGTGGGGGGGTGCACTATGGCCTTTTTGACTTGTGTGCTAAAGAACCTTGTCCGTTCACCGTCTCAAACTGATTTCAAATGCATGCTAAATGCACCTGAAAGCCGATCAACCCAGAGGCCCTTACTCTTGAAGACTACTCAGTTTTGAATAGAAGCTGGTCAGACATCATCCCAGCTTCTGTTTATTCACAGAGACATTTTACTACATGAGTGATCTATCCAGGCTGGTGTGATTATCTAGATTAGCGTTTTGCATGGTGTTTTCTATTTCTTTTTGTAACACGTTTATCCACTGCCATTCTCCTTGTTAATGATGCAGCAGAAGTCCAGTGAACAACAGAGAAAGTTTGAGCTGAGGGAGTATAAGAGAAGGTGGGATGGTGCCACTTTGGCTGTACAAATTGTGCTGACGGTTCGGTCCTTTTTGTCTTTCCAATTACAGGGTCGGCTGCCTGTGAAATGGATGGCTCCGGAAGCATTGTTTGACCGTGTCTACACTCACCAGAGCGATGTGTAAGCATTAGCTTAGTCCTTCAATAAACATGAATGTACCAGTCTGGTCCTGGGCGCATTGCAGACTGCACATAGTCATTTTTTAAAGAACAGACAGTGCATCAAAAACCGGATAAATCCTCATCAGCAGGTTCCATTTGGTGCAGAAAAACGTTTTATGTTTTGTTCTTCAAAGTTTCTAAATGCAGAGATCAGCCTGTGTGTCCCCCACATCAACTATTTAGACTTCTGTTCTTTCCAGTGCCAGCCTAAGTTTGATTGGTTCTTGAGAAGTAGCGCAGACAATTCTTCACACCTCAATACATTGGCTTGCATTTGTTTTTAAACTTCTATAAATGTAGAATTGGCTATTCAACACTTCTACATTCTACATGTTTGAAAAACACTTTTCTGGCTTTGGGAGAACTATCCAAAATGCACTGCATTAATTGATGGCTACTTCAGGTGTAATCTGTAAAGGCTGGGGTAAGATTGGAGTTGTTCTACATAATCAGTTGTGTCATGTTTTTTAATGACAAAGCCAGTGCCACATGTGTGAATTTATATTGGCTACCAAACTGTTCTCAATGTATTTGTTGCTAGGAAAAAATGAATTGCGATCAGTGCGTTCTGTATTGTGGAAATTACAAGCAATTTGTTGCAGTTGGGACTAGTTACAGGACTACCAGCTGTAGTAGCTACGCGTGTTGTCCATTGAAGCTGCCGATGACCATGGCACACCAGCATGTTGTAGCTACCTAGATAAGTGTTGCACTCAGCTGTAGGAGAAACTCTGTATCCAGCTAAAATAAGCAGGGTGATTTGTAGCTGCTGCAAAATTTGAAGACCTGACCCTTACACTGAAACTGAGAAAGCAAATCAGAGATTATCATGGGCTATGTGGGCTACAAATCAAATGTGGAAATGACACAAGAAAAAAAATATAGGTCAATATGAAGGAAAGCTATTCTTGCCACCTGCAATCAAATGATTGGCTAAAATGCTTCATTTCGGGTAATAAACTAACTTTACATTTGCTTTGCTAAGGGAAGGTAGAGTACTGGGCTTCTTGGAGTAGACCGATAAAATGCTGGAAACCTTCAACACTAGGAACAATATGATTGCGCTCCCGACTGGGAAAATGTAGTAACATCCAGTTCACATAAAGCAGCTTGCAGGAGTATATAGACAGGCAGTGTAAAGGCAATACCCCGATATTGACTACATGGTTGGTATACAGCTGAGCACGGTGGTTGCACAGGGGCTACTCTGTTTCTGCATCTATAATTCTATTTCAACATCACTAGCCCAGCGATTTGACAAAAAATCACACCATCAGCCATGTAAATCAAGGAATTAACACCTATGCAGACTTTCTGACACCAACGATGGAATTGTTACATTCGTTCATACCTCCCATCCTGTTCTTGGTCAATAACATCTACATATTCCCTGGTGATTGGATTAAGATGTGCTACCTACTCTTTAAATGCTCAGGTTTGTTCCTGACATTCACTAGAACGGAGTAAGTGGCTTGAATAAGCTACAGAATGTCTTCAGAATGACAGAGCATGTCCAGTTGAATGTGACTAACTACTATTAGCTGCTCCATGACCTGGATAAATCAGAACCTTCACAGACATCTGAGAGAGAAAACCAAAATAGTGGTGTTGCCCTCAGCAACCAAGCTGGCATCTAAATAGTCTAAATAGTAATTCGTGACAATCGTGTCCCTTTTTTTTTCTCTGCACAGTTTTCCATGGTTATTTTTTTTTCACATATGTCTGCATTGCCATTGTTGAAAGCAAGCCCGGTCAGCATAAAACTGGTGTTCTCGCCACTCCAGCCCCTTTAGAATGAAATATTCAGGAGCCGTCTTATCTCTAATTATTTTTCATTGACTCGCCTTTCGGTGGATGCAAGGGAAAGGTCGGTATCACTTTGCTCCATTCATGCCTTGAGGTGCTGTATTGCAGCGCGCCAGTTTGTGCATGAATAATTCGATTTGTTCCATTCAGAATGCCGTGAAAGATCTAACAAAGAGGGATTGGAGGTAATGGATGAGCTGTCACTTGTCTGATTAAATGCTTGTTTCAGTGTTAGACGCTATTTTTTTTTTTTTTTCCTGTTGTAGAGATCTATGGGTAACTAGTAAAATGGCCCAGGCAATTAATTTTTACCAGTGTTAGTTATGCATGGCTGCACATGAATACTTTCAACCTTTCTCTGCAACAGTAAGCAAGGGGGGATTGACCCTTGTGAATATTAAAATCTCTACATCTTCATTTCCAGATGGTCGTTTGGAGTGCTTCTGTGGGAGATCTTTACTTTGGGGGGCTCCCCGTACCCTGGGATCCCAGTAGAAGAACTATTTAAGCTTTTAAAAGAGGGTCATCGGATGGACAAGCCAGCCAATTGCACACATGAGCTGTAAGTTCACTAGACTATGAAGACATCATTGAAGCCTAACTTTAATGTAATGTTTTATTTTCATTTTTTGTTTTATTTTGGGGGACAAGTTAAAACATTTTGTCAAGTTCTTGATATTGTGTCTGTAATCCCACGGGGGAGATTTCCCCTCAATGGAACAGTAAGACAGAGGCATGCATAAAATCATTGTTTGTTGGGCAGTTAAACCACCTTTTATAGTTTCTTCTGTCCCTCAGGGATTCTGTTGGGGCAAACTCTGTGCTGAGTTCCCAGGATTGTACAAATGTTGTTCCCATTATGAGAGGTTCCCACCATGTCTTCGCTGAGTTGTGGGTCTGTATACCTGCTGTACCCATTTTGAGGAGTTTCCACCATCCCCATGCCGAGTTCCCAGGTCCACACATCTGTTCCCATTATGAGGGGTCCCCACCATCCCTGCAGTGAGTTCCTGGGTCTGTACACCTGCTATGCCCATTATAAGGGGTCCCCGCCATTACTGTGCTGAGTTCCCAGGTCTGCTGAGGTATTCCCATCTTTGCCCTGTGTTTTGGGTCTGTGTACCTGCTGTGTCCATATCTAGGGGTTATCACTGTACCGATTTTTCTAGGTCTGCACAGCTGCTGTGCCCATTTTAAGGGGTCCCCACTATCCCTGTGCTGAGGTCTGCACACCTGCTATGCCCATTATGAGAAGTTCCCAGGTCTGCACACCTGCTGTGCCCATTGAATGGTTCCCACCATTACTGTGCTGGGTTCCCAGGTCTGCACAGCTGTTCCCATTATGAGGAATTCCCATCTTTGCCCTGTGTTTTGGGTCTGTATACCTGCTGTTCCCATGTTTAGGGGTTTTCACCATCTCTGTCCCGGGTTTCCAGGTCTGCACAGCTGCTGTGCCCATTATACACTGTGTGTAGATAAATACCACTGACAACTTCTAGCATAGTCAGAGTCCCCATACTGTTCCTTTTTATACTCTGTGATTACGCCTTTGAGGTGAAAGACATCCTGTCCAAGTGAAGCTGGAATGGAATGACTTTTTGTATCTGAATAGAGCAATCGATGTTTGTGGAGTGGGGTATATGGAATATTAGAGCTTTGTCACTGACGTTGTCTCTGTTTTGTCAGGTATATGATAATGAGAGAGTGCTGGCATGCGGTACCATCACAAAGACCCACCTTCAAGCAGCTTGTTGAAGACCTTGACCGCACCCTTACTGTAACTTCTACTGATGTAAGTAGCGTTCACTGTCATGCCAAAACTCCAATTTTTGTAGACTTTCTAGTTTAACAAGGCCAGAGTCTCATGTATAAAAAAAACCAGGAAAACTTAAATGCGTGACAACTATGGTGGCTTAGTGCCTGCTAATTTGTCACAAAGCCAACACGTTTCGGCCGTCAGAGTGCCTTCTTCATCAGGGCTTTAAAGGAGGTAGTAAATACTGGAGTGAATACAAAATGTTCATTCTTTTTTTGTCCAGGTGGTTTATTGAAATACAGTCTGTCAGCAGCTGATTTAAGGAAGGAGACATTGGAAATCCTTTGGCATGGAAAAGGTGCCAACCCAAGAATCCAGACATTTTGGTCCACCCCCTATAACAATAGAATAACTATAAGGTCCCAGCGCTACCCTCCCTTTTTTTTTTCCTCCCATTGTCTGGTTCTGAGATGTGACATGCAGCCCGCTTGATGCCAGCGCATTAAGGACATGTGGTGTTCACATCATATAGTGATCCACCCCCAGTCCACGTCAAGTTGGAGGATGGGAACCATTGTAAAAAATTATTGCAGTCATCTACTTTACCTGAATGCCGGCACTGGTGGACCTCATTATTCTCAGAACTGGAACAGAGAACACCTGCAGAGTATTTAACTTTGGGCTACAACCTGGGTAACTTTTATACTGACTATAGGTCCACTTTTTAAGAAAACTTGTACATAGACAATATGGCGGCTGCCTGTCCTTTTGAAAATGTCAGTTGCTTGGAGCACCATGCTTCTTGAGGCACTTATCTGGACCAAAAGTGCAGATCAGGAATTCTGAGTCCCTTTGTTCTGGGACAGTCACATGACGTATTGATGCCGCAGAGCACCAACTAGTATTCTTAGGATGCTGACAATGGGAGATGCTGTTTTTCTCCTGGTGTAGCTTTCTTTTTAAAAGGAAGCCATGTAAGGCCCTAAATATTTTGCATCTATATTTGTAGAAAGAGGCGGGGACAATGGGCGCGTTTTTGCTGCCTATCACAACAATGGCGTCTATGTGCTAGTCTGACGCCCTTACCTACAGTCATGAACAACACACTACTGTACGGTCTGTGTACCGACATCTACGCCAATTAGCCTCGCTCCATTTCTACAGCAAAACTCCCCTTTAAAAAAAAAAAACTACAAGCCACGTTTGTCTGGTGGCGTGCTGCAGGACTCCGTGTTCAGATTCCCCAGACTCGGCTACACAAAGGCTCTCTGTGCTAGTGGCAGGGACACCTTGTTTTCTTACCCTTAATTGGAGCAATTTGTGTGAAACGAATGACGTGACTCTGAAATGTGCAATCTCCATTACTGCCTCTGAGTGATTAGTTCCTATTGATCGGAGTTCTCTACACTCTCTGGTGACACACAACACTCACAGAAAAATGCCTTCTCCGAAATAACGTTTCAGTTCTGACATGAATGCATCACATATGGCATTGGAGAGGTCGGGTCTGTGTGTGAGGTTTAATTATTTTGCTTTAAATTTAAGTCTCCCTAGCTCGTAGTGAGATCATTCTTTAAAACTTGGGTATTGGTTTTACGCACAGATTCATGTAAAAAAGAAAAAAACGTTTTAATCATTTTTTTTAAATTATTTTTCTACATGGAGTCGGAAAAGGTGATATCCTCTGTCAAGTTTATTTTGCAGTTTGTATCTTCGCTAGGGAAATTCACCCCTCTGAAACAGAAATTGTAAAGATATCCAACATTTTGCAGGTGTCACCAGAGCAAGAAACTGGAGAGAGTTCAGAGAAGGGCTACAAAATTAATGAAAGGGATTGAAGTCCTTAGTTATGAACACCGCATTCAAAATCTTAACTTATTCACCTTAGAAAAGAGGTGATTAAGAGGGGACCTTATTGCAGTCTTCAAAATCAGTGGGGACCCCAATATCAGGAACAAGCTGTTTAATCCCCAAACTGTATTGAGAACCTGGGAACCACATAGAAGGGGAAGAATTCAAAATGATAATTGGGGTAATGGAAAGATTTTTACTCCCCACATAGAACCTGGGGACACAACAGGGGTATTTTGTAAGGGGTATTTCACTGTGAGAGTGGTGAAAGTTTGGAATTCCCTATCATAGGCAGTGGTATCTGCAGATAACATTGATAAATTCATGAAACTTCTGTTTCAAGTATTTCTTTTGCAGAATCTACCGAGATATGAAAGTGTTAGAGCCAGATAAATACGCACATACATAAGGTTGCACTGGATGGACCTTGGGTCTTTATTCAACCTTACATACTATGTTGTTGTGTTAAGAAATCATTCAGTGGAGACAAATGTTCAATTGACAACTTTGTAACAGGTTGTTTGGCTTCGCTTTGTAGAGATTTCCTCTCATTTCCTGTTGGGTCAACTATGCATCTAGTTTTTTTGTTTGGAGTTTAGGTTTAAAGGACACCTTCGCTAAGTGGCTGCTTAGCCTAAGGAGAGTGACACCATTCGTTCAAAGCTCTGGAAACTCTGTACTACTGCTCAGCCTCTACTACATGCCGGTGAGGTGACTTTCTTAGTCTTAGCACTAAGAATGTATTCACACCAAAAACAGGAGGAAATCGCAAGTCAATGGAGGGTCTGTTGACTTGCAATTGTACCTTCAGATCCATAGTGTTGCGATCTGTTTTTTCAAAAACAGATCGCAGAAGGGAGCCGAAAAATGGGTGTGAATGGGGCTAGTTCCCTCCGCAACGGTTGGGTTACCTTGCGCTGAAAAAAAGTAGTGCATGTTCTACTTTTTTCAGCACAACGTGACGGAGTGGGCCCCATTCACACCCATTAATTTTTCGGTGCCCTACCATTAACATTCTTTAAAAAACAGATCACAACGCAACAGATCGGGTGTGAATGGGCCCTTGAAGTTTATATAGAGCCAAAACCCTTGTCTGCCATGGTTTGGGTTTTTCTTTTTTTTTTTCTTTTTTATTACCCCTCACTTCTTGTCCTGGAGACACAACAGGAAGTGCGAAAAAAAATCTCTCTAAAATTCGCTCTTAGTAAGGTGTCACCTGGAACACTTGTCCCCATTGGAAGATGTCCCCTCTCTTCATTTTACAGCAAACAAATAATTTCCCATCAACTTGTGTGCAGTGACGACTGTCACCAGGACAAATAGGGTGAATCTCTTGCAGCAGGGAAATAGCAATGACCTGGCAGAGGTGCCAACCTGTCCACATTCTATCACCCCCAAAAAGATTTAAATGCACACAAACACTTTTCACTGAAGCAACTTATTCTGGGAACGAGGGTAGTGGAGCACATTACAAGGAGGGACCTGAAATACAGCAGAATAAAAATTATATTGGCAATTAAATATGTGATGGTTTTTGCTTCTGTAACTACAATTCTGATTTTAAAGTAGCTGTCAGCAGGAGATTTAAAGATGGATAATATACCGGTATATATAGAGCTATAAATATATGTATATATATATATCTATAAATTTATGTATATATAGATCTTTCTCTCTCTCTCTCTCTCTCTCTCATATATATGTGTGTATGTATACATATATATAGTGTGTGTGTTTATTAATTATTTTATTTATATTTTTTAGTATTGTATCTCTGTAATTGTAGCCACTATTTGAAATTCCTTTTTGTTCTGTATTTCAGGAGTACCTTGACCTTTCTGTGCCATTTGAACAGTATTCACCAGTGTGCCAGGACAGTCACAGCACTTGTTCATCAGGAGATGATTCAGTCTTTGCACATGACATTCTTCCCGATGAGCCCTGTCTTCCCAAGCACCAGCAATGCGATGGCATCATTAGAACATGACTTTCACCTGGACAGACACACAGGATAGAAGGAATGTAGACTTGAGGCATATGGACAGGCCTGCCCAGTCATGATACTTGCTGTACATTAAGTCAAGAAGCACTGTTTGGCCTGAAGGAACTGCTACGATACAGAGAAAGAAATATATGATACATAGATATATATGTGAGGAGAATGTTAACATTGGGGGGCCCAGTAACGGGCCCTCTAGTGATCTGCCGATGAGCAAACCAATCTGTGCCTGCAATATTAGGAGAGAATCGAATGTGTACGAACACACCATGCCTGTAAAGATTGTAAACTTTTTATGCAGTCGAACATTTTTTTTTTTTCTTTTTGGAGTAGATTAGAAATGCAGCTCTGCTTGCAGGAAACTGAAATCTTGGTGTGCATGCAAATGGAAATTAGTTGGTAACCTATAAATTGTCACTTATTACATAACTACACGGCGGTTAGGTCATTGCAACTCTTTGGACATTTTACATTATGCCTCAAATTTGCCAACTTCTAACATGGTTCAAGCATGTAAGGGTATTATAATTGGATTGTAAGTGGAAGTCACATAATGCAAAGCCCAGCGTTGTGCAATAACCCACAGCAATCAGAAAGCACCTTTCATATCACTCCCTCCACTATACATAAAAAGATAAAATATAAAAGATTGCAAGTGTAAATATTAAGAAAAATGGAAGTTTGTAAACATTAAGGTAAACCAATTTTCCAAATGCCAGCATGCATCTTCACAAATACATTTACAGAATTGGACACAAATCACATTTAGGAGAACACCATTTCAGCAGTTAGCAATACATTTGTGTTACCTGTTATTTATTATTGAATTTCCCATTTCTTTTTCTGATAGAAAAAAAATGGATCATCAAGGGCTCAGAATTGTTTCTATTTTTTATTTAAATTATTTAATAATTATTCTGAAGAAAACACTTTTTCTAGATTGTAATTTTTTTTCTTTTTCAGATTTATATATTTTTTTTTCTACACTTGATCTTAGCCAAAAGGCAGAGAAGCGATTATATATATTTTTTTCTATTAGAGATAAAC